TCAATGTTAATACTGGCATTGCTCACCTCAAGCCCAAAATGGCACTTTCAGGGAGAGAGATTCAATTTATTGATTCAGTGATTTATTTGATTCAGTTATTTATTTAGAGCACACAGCAGAGAGAGAGAGAAAGCTTACGATAAAATAACCGACAAAAGGCAGCTACCATTTATTCAAACCTAAGACTAAACATGGGGACAACCAGATCATGTAATTACATGTCGGACTTAAGCGTAGTACTCAATATTCCGATGACCACCAGCGATCCAATTACAGTGGCTGGAGCCATCGTGTAGATGGTTGGACATCCGGACTGAGGATTATCTGACGTCCCGGAACTTATAGCAATCTTCGGTAGCATCATCATCGTCTGTTCTCTAACTATCAGGTGCTGTGTCCTCAGTCAGTACAGATATGTATTGCCCATGTGGAACATTTACAGGGACCCATCACTGAAGAAGGCCATAGTACTCCAAGGCATCAGTAGAAAATGAATATCAACATCTAAGTATGATTTCTCTATCATTAAGCAAAGTTATGGTATTTCTGGTGAAATCCATATTATCTCAGGACATAACTAGAATATAAATAACACCATATCGCTACTTAGAGATGATTATTCTTCGTTAATCTACAACATTATATTCTTGAGAAAATAGATCTATCATAGAAGATTGGCAAAAGAATATTAGAGAGTCGACTAAATTGAACTCTTCTTGTAAGACACTCCACTTCAATTGTCGTTATATTTAGCAATATTAGAGAATCTTGAGAGAATCCAACCAGAATAGAGATAACCATATCGCTACTTAGAGATGATTATCATTCCTCTATCCGTAACATTATATTCTTGAGATAATAGATCCATCAATAGAATAAAAATAAAATGATCATCAAATGAATAATAGAGATAATTCAATCATGTCACTTATGCGTTTTTGTACATTGCCCATGTAGAACGTTTACAGGACCCATCACTGAAGAAGGCCATAGTACTCCAAAGCATCAGTAGAATATAGATATTAACATCTAAGTATGATTCCTCTATCATTAAGCAAGGTTATGGTATTCCTGGTGAAATCCATATTATCTCAGGACATAGCCAGAATAAACCATATCGTTACTTAGAGATAATTATCCTTCGTTTATCCACAACATTATATTGTCAAGTAGCTCTGCGGTCACAAGAAGCTCCTTGGGACACCTGTCAATCATCACTGGACTCCGGGGAGACAGGTGTGAGGGGTTCTCGGAATCTTATCGGCAAATAAGGAAAACGGGACGGTGGCTGACCACTCTTGTTATTATTTTACCTTGGGATATGTTGTTATAAATACCTCTTGTATATAATTTTATTGGAGAACTAAAAGTTAAATACCCACCTTTATAATAAATTAATTATCTCAAAATTTGCCCTTGCTTTATTTATCTCCGCGACAATATTCTTGAGAGAATAGATACATCAATATAATCAAAAGAAAATAGATAACCAGAAGAATATTATAGAAAATTCAATTATGTCACTTTCATATTTAACTATTCAATCCTTAATTAAAAATACATATATTGGATCAAAATATCATTTATTTTACCAATAATACTAAAAAAAAAATCCCCCCCATTGAATTATTAGAAAGAATTCAATCATGCCACTTATGCGTTTTTGTGCATTGCCCATGTGGAACGTTTACAGGGACCATCACTAAAGAGGGCCATAGTACTCATGGGCATCAGTAGAATATAGATATCAACATCTAAGTATGATTCCTCTATCATTAAGCAAGGTTATGGTATTCCTGGTGAAATCCATATTTTCCCAACCAGAATAAAGATAACCAAAAGCTGGGTCGGCTTGCAACCTGTGAAGACATGTTGAAAATGACAAGAACGGATCCGGAATGGAAAGACAAGATAATCACAGGCGACGAGACATGGGTCTATGGCTATGACCCTGAAACCAAGCGTCAATCTGCCGAGTGGAGAGGTCAGGGTGAGCCTAGACCCAAGAAATCCAGGATATTGAAATCCAGAAACAAGTATAACTTGTATAACGAAATATTTTTCAAAACTTAATTCTGTTGCGGTTTTGTGCCGCTGAGTTTGTTGTTGACACACTTTAAAATGTTATAACACCTTGATTGGCGTTCAGCCAACTGAAATATTGGTAAAATAAATGATATTTTGATCCAATATATGCCTTTTTATTTAAAGATTCATTTATGGATTGCTCTATTTTCAAAACCAAAATATTTAACTATATAGAATCATAATAAATAAAACAGCTATAAATTAATTAATAATTTATAATAATTATCTGTATACAAAAAAAATTCTTTATAATTAACTTTTACAAATTTGTGTTGAAAAAAGCGGTAAAACAAGAATTATATTGTTGAAATTTTTGAATAATACAAAATGTAGATTTTTTGCAGTGAGGTAGGTAAACATTTGACCGGTGAGTACACTCGGTTAATATTTAATTGGTAAATTATTTAAACTACGGGAGATTTTGTTTGACGGTTGAATATAATTTAGAACGTCGAGTTTACATTGTATAGAATCAGCGTTTAGATGAATTTCTTGCATTAAGAACAACAATAGTAGTGTAGTAAACGCTTAGCTTTGTGTGAACTACACAGGAACCTATAAAGTTGGAAACCTATCTATACATATGCATCTGTAGATTTTCTACTGAACGTTATGCAGTAGCAGATATTTAGACATATGGATATTCTTGTGATGCAGTAAAATACATTTAGACATTTCGGGATGTTCTTGTGATACAGTAACAGACATTTCGGGATGTTCTTGTGAGGCAGTAACAGACATATAGACATTTCGGGATGTTCTTGTGATGCAGTAAAAGACATTTAGACATTTCGGGATGTTCTTGTGATGCAGTAACAGACATTTCGGGATGTTCTTGTGATGCAGTAACAGACATTTCGGGATGTTCTTGTGATGCAGTAACAGACATATAGACATATGGATATTCTTGTGATGCAGTAAAAGACATTTAGACATTTCGGGATGTTCTTGTGATGCAGTAACAGACATTTCGGGATGTTCTTGTGATGCAGTAACAGACATTTCGGGATGTTCTTGTGATGCAGTAACAGACATTTCGGGATGTTCTTGTGATGCAGTAACAGACATTTAGACATTTCGGGATGTTCGTGTAATGCAGTGACAGACATTCAGACATATGGATATTCCTGTGATGCAGTAACAGACATTTAGACATTTCGAGATGTTCTTGTGATGCAGTAACAGACGTATAGACATGGATATTCTTGTGATGCTTTAACAGACATTTAGACATTTCAGGATGTTCTTGTGATGCAGTAACAGACATTTAGACATTTCAGGATGTTCTTGTGATGCAGTAACAGACATTTCGGAATGTTCTTGTGATGTAGTAACAGACATTTAGACATATGGATGTTCTTGTGATGCAGTAACAGACATTTAGACATATGGATGTTCTTGTGATGCAGTAAAAGACATTTAGACATATGGATGTTCTTGTGATGCAGTAATAGATATTTAGACATATGGATATTCTTGTGATGCAGTAACAGACATTTAGACATTTCAGGATGTTCTTGTGATGCAGTAACAGCCATTTCGGGATGTTCTTGTGATGCAGTAACATACATTTAGACATTTCGGGATGTTCGTGTGATGCAGTAACTGACATTTAGACATATGGATATTCTTGTGATGCAGTAACAGACATTTAAAAATCAGGATGTTCTTGTGATGCAGTAACAGACATTTAAAAATCAGGATGTTCTTGTGATGCAGTAACAGACATTTAGACATATGGATGTTCATTTTATGCAGTAACAGACATTTAGACATATGGATGTTCATTTTATGCAGTAACAGAATTTTATAGAATTTAAGAAGATCTTGTGATGCAGTAAGAGACATTTAGACATTTCAGGATATTCTTGTGATGCAGTAACAGACATTTAGACATTCAGGATGTTCTTGTGATGCACTAACAGACGTTTAGATATTTCAGGATGTTCTTGTGATGCAGTAACAGACGTTTAGATATTTCAGGATGTTCATGTGATGCATTAAGAGACATTTAGACATTTCAGGATGTTCTTGTGTTACAATAACAGACATTTAGACATATGGATGTTCATTTTATGCAGTAACAGACATTTAGACATTTCAGGATCTTCTTGTGCTGCATTAACAGACATCTATATATTTCGGGATGTTCTTGTGATGCAGTAACAGACATTTAGATGTTTCAATATATTCTTCTGATGCAGTAACAGACATTTAGACATTTCAGGATGTTCTTGTGATGCAGTAACAGACATCTATATATTTCGGGATGTTCATTTGATGTAGTAACAGACATTTAGACATTCAGGATGTTCTTGTGATGCAGTAACAGACATTTAGATGTTTCAAGATATTCTTCTGATGCAGTAACAGACATTTAGACATTTAGGATGTTCTTGTGATGCAATAACAGACATCTATATATTTCGGGATGTTCGTTTGATGTAGTAACATAAAAATGAGATATATCAAGAGGATATATGGATGCCTTAACAGACATTTCGACATATCAGGATGTTCTTATGATGTAGACCATTATATCAGAACCAGGTACCTGCAGACGGGTTAGCTCGGAGAAAGTGAATCTTCCCAACAGGGCGACAATTGCCGTAGCAATCAGGGCCGTGAGACGGATGACATCTCCCTACTCCATCTGTCTCCATCACCATCTGACTCCATGTCGTGAGAACTTGTCGCCGAACTAGTCGCCAATCTTTTCTCTGAATAAAACTGCGGGCCATTACGGAACATACACATTTTATTTTATAATACAATATAATGCGGCTTGTGATTGTAAAACGGCATTTGAAAATTATCCCGCATGTGTTTCTTTTGAACGAGAAATCGAAATTTATTTTAAGGAGAAATAACGATTATTTCTAACCTATAATATTTACGAACGGAAAAATATGTCCAGGGTAGCCTAGTGGACATGGCATCTGAAGTAAGCGGAACACTGTTGGTTCGATTCCTATCCCTGGACACTTTATTTTACCGTTTATCATTACTCTTCACATTTCATTCTTTCATACTTCAACTCTAAGGTTAGAAATAATCGTTATTTCTCCTTAAATTAAATTTAAATTTCTCGTTCAAAAGAAACTCATGGGGAATAATTTTCAAATGTCGTTCTACATTTTAGTTTACAATTAGGAATTAAGTGCATGTTTTATATGCAAGAAATTTGGTAAATCATTAATATTATTTTGAAGAAAAGTTATTTATGTAAACTTTAATTGTGCCTATTTCGATATTAAAGAATATTATAAACTTTAACATTAACCAGTGGGGGTAGGTTGAAAGATAGTCTAAACAGTTGGTTTTCGGCCTGGGCCTGGCTCATCAGTGGTGAACCCTCCGAGCGGTTTCGCCAGTTTAATCTACCATATCGCTGTTATATTGCATTTTACGATCTTCCTTTTATAGTTATACTGTTGCTAGACTCTTGTAATGGGTATTTTAGATTAACTATGTACATAAGCTTTGAGGGTTTACCACTGATGAGCCAGGCCCTCCCATTAATTTTTCCATTGCAGTAAGGGTATTAGAAATTGTTTAATATCAAAAAGATTTTTACGCGTCTATAATAGTTTCGAATTTAAATAACAGATGGCGCGCTTGTGCATCATAATATATATAATATTTATAGACCTGTTTTCAAAATAAGAATGATTTTTGTCGTTAAAATAAAATAATAGCTGAAAATAAGTAAAAAATAGATGGTGAAGATAGTTGTGATATTAAGGTGTAAGGGGTTCGTATAACACCGGTGTGATTTCCTGGAGCAAGGGAGGCCAATCTCACATTCAGAAATATCTCGGAAAGAAATCTAATTATTTCCATCTTTTGTCTTTAATAAAAGGCGGGATCTGGGATAATGAGAAGGAGTCGGGTTTCCCGGTGCATCAGTCGGTTTGGCCGATGCTCTAACAAGCGGCCTTGTTAGGCGCAGCGTCGCCAGTTCGGATGGATAATCACCAGTGCAGAAAGAAGATCTCAGCGAACGGCTGCCTCGGGTTTCCCCACGGCAGATTTACGGCGGCTCTAAAACCATTTTTGCCCAGTAAATCTGGACCTGTCGATAAATATGGCCGCCCAGTCCAGTCGCCGTTACTGTCAATTAGAACACCATAAGATTGTTTCTTTGTCTCACGGGAGACAGTTTCTAACAAATCGACACAAATTCTTGTTATAAAGATACCTTTTCGGCTACATGAACTCAGTAGAATTTAGTTTAAATATATACGGATAAAAGATTACATGAGGAGCTTCTTTTTCGATTTATTGCGAGCTTTCGAACCTTTCGGTTCTTCTACAGGCATAGATAGCATGAATATACTAACAAAATTTATACGCATTTGAGCCATTATATACATACATACACATTTACATATGAAGCAATAGTTTCAAATATAATTAAAATAGAACTAAGAATTATGACTATAAAATATCCAAAACTATGAAAATAAAATTTAAACTTTTTAAAAAATGTTGATAAAATTCGGGAACCACATTTATGTACGCTAAAGATACCTTTTAGAAATATAAAACGGATATTAAAGAGGAGTATCTTGTGTGAATTTTATTAGCAACTTTCGGACGTCCTTCTACAGGCTTTTTCGATCAAATTTCACTCAAAATGTTTATTTTATTCAAATATATCTTTTGTTTACAGCCCAACAACCTTTCTACTTGCAAATTCTATTATTTGGTATCTAGGAAGTAAATAAGATATTATTCTCAAAATGGATGAAATACTAAATTTATTACAAAAGTGTTCAACTCTACTAAGATAAGTATTAATATATTTCATTTTTTTTTATTATTCTATCTGAAACAAATAAATTATTTAAAATTTAATATAAATCGAATTACAAAAGAAGGAATCGCCAGGCATGAGTTTCTCGTCTGCTTTGATTCCTTCTTCGAAATAAATCTCATTGTTAGTTATTGATAATATCATGATAATATTCACAACACATTTATTTTTAAAAGAGAAAACGAAAATATAACGTGGTGAGTTTCTTTTTATTAAAAATACAAGCTTTCAAGCAAAACTCTTTTCTTCAGGTAATCCAAGAAAATATGCGGAGAGGTATATACACCCAACTAAGTAAGATTTGAATATTGAAGCGGAATTGCTACGAACAAGCACGTATCAACACACCTAGAGAGCGAGCGAGAAATTCAGTTTGAAATAAGTTTAAAATAAATAAAATATATACAATCGGGGAAAACACTTGAGGTTAAAATTCCTTATGCGGGATCAAATTGCGAACTACATTATGTTGGTGAAACCGGCAGAACCATAGAAATCAGGACTAAAGAACACAATAGAAACATCATGAACAAAGACAGCCGTTCCCAGATTTATCAGCACATGGCAGAAACACAGCATTCATTTGATTTCACAGACACCCAATGTATTTACAGTAACATAAGCGGAAAATATCAACGACTGGTCCTGGAGGCTTTGGTTTCCAATAAAATTCCGAGCCTCAATAGAAAAATAGAACTACCCCCGCAGTACATAGCTTTTTGTAATAGCATGGATCCCGCATAAGGAATTTTAACCTCAAGTGTTTTCCCGATTTATGTATATATTTTATTTATTTTAAACTGAATTTCTCGCTCGCTCTCTAGGTGTGTTGATACGTGCCTGTTCGTGGCAATTCCGCTTCAATATTCAAATCTTACTTAGTTGGGTGTATATACCTCTCCGCATATTTTCTTGGATTACCTGAAGAAAAGAGTTTTGCTTGAAAGCTTGTATTTTTAATAAAAAGAAACTCACCACGTTATATTTTCGTTTTCTCTTTTAACTTTTAAAACGTGGCTAAAGTATGTCTGATCCTAACATTTATTTTTATATAGCGAGAACGATATTGAGACTAACGATTTTAAAAATATTATATTATAGAAGGGTTTTCTATATAGTTTTTTTATAGACTATTTTTACTGTTTCATTTTCCATGGTTTTAGTGTGGAAGAGTAAGTTAATAAAAGTAGGATGAATAGCCTTCGAGAGTTGCCAGGGATGAGAGACGCATTCATTCTGAGGAGTTAAGTTAAAGCTATGCTAAGATTTCAACGTATGGTATAGTCCAGGGGTTGGAAAACTTTTGAGTCGGAAGAATCAAAAATTACAATTTACAAATTTTCAAAATTTTTAAAGAGCCACGAAATTGTTTTCTTGTGAACAATAAATAGTACTTTCATAGATATTATTTATTAAAATACAAACATTAGGCATCCAGTGAAAATTTTCTTTTTTACAAATCGTTTATTTAAAAATATTTCTAGCTTTCGAGTAAGAAATACCTTCTACAGAAAAATATATCATAATTCTTGCCCGAAAGCTAGAGATATTTATGAATATATGATTTGTGAAGAAGAACCATTTAATGTTTGTTTTTTAATTTGAGTTAAGGAATAATAAATAATACTTTTGTATCGAACTATCCAAAAGTCGAATGTGGCTCGCGAGCCGCAGTTTTCCGACCCCTGGTATAGTCATATTACGGTATGAAATATTCTTACATAATTTGATATGGTAAAGCCATGTTATGATATAAATAATATAAAGAATTATGGTATAATCAATTCAGATATGCACATACATTCAAACAGAACTATGCAACACTAGGTATAATAGCCGAAAAGCAGACGCTATTAAACCAAATTCAACAAAAATGAAATGTTTCAGACTTTCTCCGCCCATAACTTGGACGGATGTCAAGTTGTCGCCAGGCCAGGCTGTAGGAAATAAATGAGGCGAGACGCTCGACAAAACGGCCTGAAACTGTTTCTAAATGTGCGCCGAATCAAATTTAGAATGGCGTCTTTAGACACCACTTTGTGTGGTTGTGTGTGCGTGTGGTATCGGATCCCAGAGAAAAACTTATTTTGATAACCTAGTGAATATATCTACTAATTTTGAAAATTACAAATACACCGATATATATATATATAAACATTCGTGCTTTTAAATCCTTTTATTTTATATGCATAGATGGCGCGTATTGCATTGTGTTAATTTATGCTTAACTGGCCTTGTCTTTATTGTTTGCTGAAGAGCATTGCTCGATGCAAATATTTGAATGTAATTCTACTGTCCTATAAGCTTATGTCCATAGTTTTCTTTAAAATCCTTTCATTTTATGTGTATAGATGCGGGTTATTGTTTTGTGTTAATATATATAGAATTAAACATATAAATTCCAATAAATTTATTGAAAATTATTCGTTAATAGTTTAAGAATTAACATAAAACTAGACCCGGCTTCGCCCGAGAATTTTCCCCGAGTGCAATTTCTTCATACTGGAAGTACATCGATAATAAATAGTAGAAGTGCCATATAATAGCAATACAGAAGTAACACATAAACCACAGGGAAAAAGTGTGTGTGATGGCAAAAATTGTATTATATTAGTGTTTAGGTATTTGATTCAATTATTTTTTGCAATCCATTTAGAGTTGTTTTAAAATCAATATAATTTGAATAGATGGCAGCTTTCCCACCACCCCCGAGGTACCCGCCCCAGCGCATTAACCCTTGAAATTGCCTGAGTTGAGTGAGTGACTGCGATGCCCATCTTCTCAGTAAGAATTTTAAAAAAAGGTTAATAAAATATTAATCCAAAATAGTGGCATGTGAATATTTTTCAGTAAAAAATAAAAGAGCACATGGAAATTAGGCAAGCATATGTGTTTGCTAATGACTGCGACTGCATTTTAAACGATTTTTTTTGAAGAGATAGAGATGTATGGGGACATCTTAGGCTCTTCATTGGACACGACAACAACAACAAAAACAATACAGTATACACTCCTAAGATAGAAGACATTGCGACTGCTGTGATAGAGATGTATGGAGACATCTGTGGCTCTTTAATAGACACCTCAACAACAATACAGTATACACACCCTAGATAGAGGATATTACGAATGCTGTGATAGAGATGTATGGAGACATCTGTGGC